GCTTTTCTAGGACACGTAAGGGATATTGCGCCGATTATCTCTAGATTCGGTTTATTTTACCAACTCGCAGTAACCTGGAAGGCGCAGTCCACGCTTAAAAAAATTGGTAGGTGAATTAACGCGTAAGCGGGTTTAGATGGATTGTCAAGCAGTCGTTTCCAGTAGCTTCAACTGAACTTTTGACAGCGTTATAGGATACGTCATTATATTAGGGATCTGACCTTTTCTGACGCTTCCAAATAAGAACGATAGCGTACATCAAACCGCACGGTTGCAAGTCCGAGAGAATAACACCCACCCCTAGCCATCGCCGTTCAGAAATACCGTTCCTTTATTGGGCGCTGCCAATCTAGCGTTTGCCCGGTGTACCTTACCTCAATCAAATTTAAGCGATCCCAGCCACGAATTGGCCTCCTGCATTTAATAATTTTTGCAACAGCAGCCTTCTACGTTATTATCTTAAGTCCGCAAACGAGTCACTGTGACTACACGTGGACTTTATGCATGTATCGAAAGCTCGATTTCCACGGTTCATATTTCATTATCGTCACCCATCCTTCGGATTACAGTCCCAGTAGCGGCCCGTACTCATCGCACGGTTTGATTGCTTCCCACGGGTGATCCACATCCGGAGACAGGCTTTCCCCTTCTTTCTCGCATCCTGAGCTCTTTGCTCGTTTACGTTCTTCCAGGCGTACCGATCTTCCAATACACCTTTCCACTGAAGGATTCGAAACCACCGACGGAGAATATACAGGAGCATCATTGTCAGGCTTCCCATGGCTGAGGAGGAGATTGCCCGAAGGAGTGGTGCCGTTGGCCACCCTCTGGCGCAGCTGCTTACAGTACCGGCTATCAACGGCCTGCGATGTAACGCACAACAATCTATAATGCAGGATTTACAGTAAGTGTCTTCCCAATCTGGTTGCATTACCAAGCGTTCAGCGTACCTTTGCAAATGCTGGCTGCGCCGCATGTTGCAATTTAATCTATAGATCCGGTGTGGGGTGAGGCGTCAGATATAAATGTTTTCGATTTCGAATTTCTACCGTCATTATTGACGATTTGACGATTAGAATGGGAAAAATGTCCAGCAGATGCAGCTTACTGACCTGGACCCGTCCTTCCAGTATTTCGCAGTATCCTACATCCAATCCCATGAGCCCTGCTCACACGTGCTCTGGTTCATCTCCCATCCTTACTCTCCTTCCCATTATGTCATTTGGCTAACATGTGCCCTTCATTCATTATGATGAGGGTGAAACACAGAAAAAATCTTCCCGATGTTGAACTCACTCTACACGTATTCGCCAAGAATGCTGTATCATAGAATGTCGAACACCATATCCCATCGGGTATCCTCACTGTGAGTTTGTCTCAACTGTTAATCCACCGTTGGATGTGCCGATCACTAAGAAACTCAGGGACCTTTACAGCCAACCGTCCGCCGATATGACACTCAGCCTGCAGTCCCAAAAAATTGTCGTCCCTGGCAGTGCGTCCACCTCTGGAAGAAGTGATTGGTATCCAGAAGCCTACAGTCTCCATCAACAATTATTCTTAACACCGCTCTCAGATATGGGGAAGATAACAAGAACTGCATGCTTTGCAACAGCAGATAGAGCTCTGAAGAACTGTAATGAGCGATCCCAGCCTGTGTATCTCGGAGCAGAGAATATGTTAATGGGCCAAGCTCAGGGGCGGTTGCCAGAGCCATTTGCTGGCTCTCCTCCTTTCTACGACACTATGTTGCTTCTACCTGTCGTTTGCGGGACTTCAATCATCAAGCCTGAGATACTGGCCGAGATACATAAAGGTTTCTTCCAGGTTGATGATAAGTGGACGTGTTATAGGCGGAACTACTTTTCAATTTCGTGTTCGTTTACTATGCAACCTTGGCCAAGCGCTCCGTTGTACGTGAAACTTTCAGATCAGTGGACAGAACGCATTACAAGGTTCGCCATGTCAATCTCCGCCATTGTGAATCAACAGGTCGCAGAAATCCGCGACTTGGTTCAACACAGCCCAAAACGGGATAAGCAGTCGGGCAGAAAACCGGGAAGGGTTATATTGCAGCCCTGTCAGCCTGAGCACTTGGTTGTTGGTCATGAAGCATCATCAAGCAGCATTCAACATGGCTTACCAAAAGGCTATCAGTCTACTGAGAGGCCCCTGGGTTACGAGGAATATCCGGGAGTAGTCCAGCCTTCACCACCCCCATACCGGCACACGTTCGAGCGGGTCCAGTTCCAGAAGGCGACCGCGAACAACGGAAAGCGGCGAGCCCAGCAGCAGTACTACAACCTAGTCGTTGAACTCTATGCTGAGGTCGCCAGCTCTGCTCGGGGAACTGAAAGCCAGTGGATCCGGGTTGCCAGGCGACTATCGCATCCAATGGTAGTCCGGGGTCGCTCTCCAAATCACTTCAAAAACAACCGCCGCAACAATCCGGCAAGAATGGATTTTTCAGAAGGAATAAAAAAGAAGCACGAAGACCAGCATAGTACATGACCACATCGGGTCACGTGTACGACGCTAATCCGAAGCAGATATAGCGCTGTGTAGTGTCAGATAGTACTGTACTACATCCAGGCCGCTTTGAGTTTCACCTCATATAAGCAAGACCGACTTGGAAAAGCGCGGCGGATAGGGCTATATCTCTTGCTAACGCTGTGTGACGTCGACGCGGGCGGCGGCGGGCAATAGAGGGAGTGCAAGTCTTGGACAGTGCCCTGAGGGCCTGAGAAATGAGAATTATTCTGGGTATTCCCATATCCTCATGCACTTTCGATGTTCCCACTATATTCTGCTTAGCTAGTCATTGTCCTTTCTGAGCCACTAAACGGATTGAATTTCTGTTGATAGTGATCGATGTATAAACGACTCCCCAACTATGGGTCCGGCAAAGTTAGCGTTTAATTGCGGTTCCTTGTAGCGCACCGGAACTGATCTCAGCAACAAGCGATCATGCATCCAGAACCGGGAAAGATGAGGGGTGTGTATTGACGCTTGCTTCACGTGCGACCCTACACAGGTATGGAGTATGCAAGTACACACTTACATAAGACGGCGCCAACGAATGTGCAAATATGCTTCGTTGTAAGGAAATAGTTCTCGTCCTACCCCTGTGGGCGGGTGTCATTCTTCCTAAGGCTTGCAGCCCCAAGGTTCATGGTTCGCAATGTTTTAACCAGGGGAAAGCAAGCCCCCCTGCGGGTATAGGTGCTGCGTTCCTTTGCTCGGCTCATTGCTTATTTCATGGATCTGATGGTCATCTGGCAGTACACTGAGGCGAGCAGACACTATTTGTACCCACTGTTTGAGTCGCAAGTGAGTTGGTAGAGTATAGGACTAACTTCTAGTGCGGCCGTAGATACTGGCCGGAGGGCTGAAAGGATTTGGATAAGAGTTATTCTCTGTACTGTCTCCAGAAGTCACAGACGTATGTTTTCTCGGGGCGGTTCGTGCCAGACCGTGAACGCGTAGTCTATATTTGGTGTTACGCATGCTTGATGAAGCTGGCGCCTTTGCTCCGGTCGGAGGTGTCTGAGCCCGCTCAGCGCTATGCTCACTTTAGTTGCCCGTTTAATTGATTTTTCCAATGCATCTCTTAGTCAAAGATTACTCCCAGAAGCTTGGCAGTGTCGGCCGGTTTGGTAACCTGGCCCCTCACGGAGTTTCTATTACCCGAAGCCTTCGCCCTCTGTTCGGCTGGTCCTCGTAGTCTTTCATGGTCTATACCCAAATTATGAGAGTCCGAAACGTCTTCCGAGGCTTTTCCAATAACAGTTGGACAGCCTAACCGATCTGCTTTTACTCTTCCCGTCTCTTTTCAAAAAACACGTCAACATTTTCTGACCGGGATACATGTCTGATAGTGAAGGCAATCGAAATGGCGCCGACCGAGTGCTCCTCGCCGCGGAACACGGTCCAGGAACACCAGAAGGTTCCAAGGGGGACCGATTCTTGAAGAGCAGTCTAAAGACGTGCGACTTCACCAAGGATAAGTTGGAGTCGGTAGTCATGCAACTGCCAAAGCTTTTGAGTTAGTGTTTTGAAATTCTATCCGGGGTGCGTGACCGATTTGACAGGTATGTCGCGCGGACCCTCAAGGAACATATGGGCTATGCTACTTTGACTTCGCCAACTTTTTGTTGTGTCACGCCCCGTGTGACATTGACAACTATTTATGTCAGCGATCACTTCCTTGGATGCACATTTGCCATGTTCACTGTTCACGCCCTAATCTCCCAATATCGGGGTGAACATAAGAGCCACTCTTTATTTCGAGCTTTATAACCGGAGCGCTCAATATCTCGATTTCTATTCCTTGTCTCTGCGTAGATATCTATTTCCCATCGATCGCCAGTACTTGTATACATGCACGCTTCCTGAATTTTCTTCATTAGATGTACAGACCAAGTGCCCTCTTCTGAACCAGTTTGCTCATCTCTGTGCAATATGCAGAAGTAGCCTCTTGTTTTCTTCCCTGCCTTTCAGCTTTCTTACCCGCTATCGCTGAAAGGCACGGCAGATTCAGAAGGCAAGAGAGTAGTTCTTATCGAAGATGCTGCTTCCCTTCCTTAGTGGATTTTGGCAAAAAAGATCAGTACAATTCAAAGTAATGATAATGCACCAATTAATTAAGGACGAACTAACCCGGTCACAATGCCGTTCGTTGGCTTTTGTAGCTTTTGGTTCCTGCTGTTTGATTGTCGGGATTACCGTGATGGTAATTTTGTACCTTAGGACGACATTACCCACCCTCAGTTGCACCCGTTAGATGCCTTTTCCGAAAATGCTGCTGTAGTAGTGTTATTGAGAGACAAAAAATCAGGTTGCTTGGAGGACTAAAAGTACTTTGTAACATACGATGGGTGTAAGGATTGACTTGGCCAGCACAGAAGCAGCTAACATAGGCTGAGACGTATATAACAACCCTGGTCTCTCATGGAACCGTCCAAACATGACTGGTTGTCTTCGATTTGTTCGAACATATCATGGCTAACTTGTCTATGAAAGAAGAAACCCCCATGATGATTATCCGGAAGTCAACTACGCGCTACATTTGTCCCCCATTCTTCGAATTCTTTCCTCAAGAGGACCTTCTAAATCGCCACATCTACGAGTGGAGCGACTATGCGCATGCAGGGCTGCGTAATAGACTCGACGGAACAAACCGTCGCGGAAAAACTCCTTATCTATGATCGACAGTCCGTCATAACACCAGTGGCTGCCGAAAACATCCCTCCAGTCACAGACTGTTTTGCGGTTGACTCTGTGGTCGAACATTACCATTTCTTCCCGCACACAATGGCTAGCCTGCAAAGGAGGGTAGAGACTCTGAAGAGGATTAACCAAGTCTCGTCCATTTATTTTGTCTACCCCATATGCCTTAGAGGCTTTCGCCGACCGCCCTTTTATAAGACCACTTCCGGAAGCAAGGAGAAGATGCACATGCACGGCCGGTGAAGAGAACTGCAAAAGAACAATGGGAAATGGAAATGCATGCAGGGCTGGCGAAAAGAACTTCGAGGAAGCAATGGGATATGGAGAAATTTCTCACCTGCTACCGCCAATCCGTCAGAACATCCATGGCTGTCGAGGACATCTCTCCAAACTGCCACTGTTTTGAGGTTAACTTTGTGGTCGAACACTACCGAGAGCACACTGGAAGTCAACACAAAGTATATCCGACCACCCTTGTTCATCAACAGGTATGCCGCAATATGCCAGCTGGAAGGTCATTGGATCATGCAAGGCTTTAGTATATCTCTACTGACGAGTGTCTTCCCGGCTGCCGTACGGGCTCTTGAACCCTGGTGATGGCTCCGATCGTGAGCGGGAGGAGCATGACTTGGTTTCACTAGGTGAAGAGTTAGGATGCCGAACAAAGACTTGCTTATCTTTCCTTCTGAACGCACTGTCTTTCCGTCGTTGAATATTCATTCCGTCGAATATCACCCGAGTAGAAGAGGTCGGTGCTATGTAGATTGAAGCTGACAGACCTCGTTCCGTATCGCTGCCTACGACGGTTAATAGCGGCCATCGGGCAAAAACGATTTCTTGGTGTTTACTGCCGGCAGAATTAATATGAAGTCTGATTGGATCGCGTAGCTTATCTAACAGACCTATCTATATGAAGCTGTACGTACATCACTGGATGAAGTCAAGCGACATCTGGGCTTGACAAATGACAACTCCTGTCAGTGCTTCATCTGACCTTCCACAACTCACCGCCTAAAGAAAAGTGAAACACTTTCTCGCTGCTACCTTGCTGCAACAGAGGATAGATGGCCAAATTTTTGGCAATCATGCGAGCAGCCTATTAATTCTGAGTCAACCTTAATGGCGAATAGAAAATTTGGGAATTTGCGAGATAGGCTGAGTCGCTGCCTGTTCACATCTGCTAGATAATTAGAAGTCCCGTCATTGAACCCTTACTGTGGGCCAACCAACTGGAGCTGGTGTAGCCACAAGGTATTTGACTAAATGACAGACATGGGAATACAAAAAAGAGGAAGGGGTCAGCACATTTGTGGATTTCGCTGTATGGAGCCGAGCCTTCTGTTCACTCCAGTTCCTCTTCATGTGTGGCTGGAGTATTTCCTTTGGTTTGAACTTTTGTGCGCGCCTGCCGTGCGCTGACCATTGGAGCTCCCTTAGAGTAGGAATCGTTTGTCGTTCGTGAGGACGGGCCGACGTCGTACTGTTATGTACTGTCTATTTCTAATACGTTATCATCTGTCATCAAGAAGCCGATGTAAGGGTGTTAGTTGAGCCACAGTGTGGCGTAAGAAAAAAGGGCTGGTACGGTACAGTACATATCGTGGAAACTGTATCGCTTTCAATTAAAAAGATACGTTACCGAGCGGTGAGCCTCAGCCTTGCTGCCTTGGGGAAAAGTCATCCATCAGGCGATGAAATCGTCCCGGTCGGTGTCCAGTCTCAGGCGGTGAGCTCAACCCTAGG